GGGGGGGGGGGGCGTCATGTGTGCATACATGGACGCGCAGATTCCGGTCGCCTCGACTCGATCAAGCTCCATCTCTTCCGGCGTGATTCCGTCAAAAATTCAGATTTCGCGTAAACGACCGGTGAACAACTCTACTTATTGCCCGCGCTTTCCCCCCTGCTTCCGCTTCCTTCGGAACAGGGCCCCTTCTGCTTGAGCGGCACATCGACCCTGCGAGTCAGTCGTCCGCTCGAGTCGGCGCCGCCAGCATTGTCTTGATTCGACCCCAAGACTGTTTTGTTGCTGGTTGCAGAGCAAGCGCACCTTTTAAACAAATACTTTCCAACGTGTGATGACGGGGGACGACGGAAAGGAGACAAAAGGGTGCGCGAGTCTACTTGACGGCATGACCTTTCTGGCCCTAGTTATTTCCCTTTTTTTGTGTGTTTTTTGATCGGTTGCACCATTTCGGATCCCGCTCAATTCGCAGGGGCTAGCGCGCCTTCCTGGTGCTGCACCTGTGTGCAACTTTTTACGAGCCGTAAGCGTAGTTGGCGAGTGGCTAGCACTGCTCCTCTAGCGTCAAGTCGTCCCTTAACGTCGAAGTATTACGGAACAAAGAGATTTGTAACCGTGGCGTTGTCCGCGTTCTTCTGTGTCTTTTCCCTCCCCCTGCCATGTTAATTGAACATGCCCGTAGGTCGGCCATTTCGTTGCTGTGATTAGCCAAGAGCTCGCGCGCGCGCGAGTGTATGTTCGATTATTGCTCCTACGGGTTGGAGGGCTGTAGTTTATTTTAGATGTAAGTTGAGTCACATTCGACAGGCACAAGTTTGAGTTGTCTGTTTTTTTGGGTCGGATACTCCTCTCTCCGTTAACATGTAGACGGGCGCATCTCTCACGCTCCCGGTCTTGCCTCGTGGGTAGAGGGGTTGCATTGAGTCTTTTTCGCGGTGCGGGTGTGTATGCGGTACTCTGCTGTTGAGATGGGAAGCGGCCCTGACCGCGTGTGTTGCTACGTAGTAGCGACCTTGGTCGGATCACTTGATGCAGCTCTGACGTCTCGGACGATGGCTTGCCTCTTCTGGGCGTTGGTTACTACGAGTGCCGTCGTACGTGTTGAATCGGTGACGTTGCGCCCCCTTCAGTATATTTCAGAAGAAGTTTACTGGTACATTGTAAGTAAAATAGGAGATTCTCCGCCTTTTACCTACTCTTTCCATTAATGTAAGGGTTTGGAATGGGAATGGGAGACTTGTTCTAGATCACAGGACTTGTGGAATATCAATCACAAGACCGAGAAATAATCACATGAATATCAAACAACCGAGAAATGATGACACGTGATCAATTCCCTTTGCCGATGGGTTGGATCCGGGGGATACATGTAACTGGCTGGTGGGGTCCATCGACGGCGTTAGTACATCGTCAGCGATATCTTGCGAGAAGGTTCAGTTGACGCCCGGCGGTAGCGCTGTCCCATCACTGACGTCTGTCTCCTCATTTATCGAAAGTCCATTGACACTTGCACGACTGACTGCAAGAAATACGTCTGTGCACCGAACATGCTCGAAAATGCTCAGTCGTACGCACACTGTGATCGACCTTGCTTGGTCTCGAGATACAACAAGAAGCGTTCGTCGTGTGTTACATCCTAACCTTCAACGTTTCTCCGCGAAGGTTAAGTCCTTATCTGATGACCAAATAGTCTATACAGCATGGTAGCGAATTATGCGCGAGGTGGACCGAGCTCGCCAAGAAGTTGTCGGATAAGTTCCGAGAGAGAAAGACTTGTCTCCGTAAATATCGGATGTATAATGTGACGTCAAGGTGAAGGGAGAGTGCACCAAAAAGCCGCAGCAGGGGAGACGGCAAGCAACCAACAACAGAGTCACCAAATTACTGACTGTAGGCTTCATGGATTGGCGTACGAGTGAAAGTCTCGCGCCATCACAAAGTCAGCGACCTAACCGAGCCTTAATATTGACGCACCACGGACGACCTACCTTCTACTGCAGATAATACAACCAACACCACGGCGACGTCAACAACGACCATTGAACAACACACGTCTGTTTTTTAGTCTACCTTTTGAACATAGACTATGCATTCCCTACAAACAGGCCAGCGTCACATTTCTCGCCAAGGGTCCCCAGGTACGAACTACCATACAGTTGGCGCCCGCAGTTAAGAAATATCTTGTTAAGAAATTGAGGCTCACTTTTTGACGAAAAATAAGAAAAACGTGTTAAGAAACATAGCTCAATCTGGGTCACACAATAAGAAATGTCTCAATAAGAAAAGAAGGGAACGGGAGGCGCAAAAGGGTGACAAACCCCAATGTTCGCCTCACGGAGCTTGCAACATGCTGACGGGGTAGTTTTCGTTGTTGGTACTTGCATGTTCTGGTAAAAACTCGACAGTCTCGTGCGGCGTATCCCCGCTAAGGAGTGTCTTTTCGTGCTCATGGATGCCAATACCCAGACCGGAGGAGGGATAGCCGGGGAAAACGAAGGAACCATGGGCGAGTACGGGCGCAATGAGCTGAACGACAACGGTCGGCTGCTGCTGACNGCTGGCCCACAACCGACCTATCCGGACAAACCCCAAACGGCGGCAGTTCAACCGACAGGATCTGCAGGTCGAGGCAGCGCGATGGGCGGTGTCCCAACGATTTATCTGCAACTTGCTCGCGAGGTCGGGCGCGCCGGCGACCACCGCTCGGGAAATGGCGAAGGAGTTCACGGAGGCCCTGCTTGGCGCGGCGGAGACGGAGCTGTCTGAGGAACCCCGGAGGCGGCGCACCCCGGAATGGAACATGACCGCCGCGGCACGGGCAGCCCTGGCGACCGCCCTTGACAAGCGACGGGCGGCGCGGCATGCCTTCAAGGCCAGACCGAACGCAGCAACGTGGAGGATCCTCAAAGCAGCGTGCAAGGGGGTGAAGGCAACAATCGCAACGAGCGTCTACGACCACCTGGAAGGGTACGTGACGGAGCTCGAAGCGATTTACCAGGACCGCGACATGCGGGGGCTGTACCAACACCTCAAGCGATCAACGGGCCTCAGCGGGAGACAAGCTGGGGGGCAGCAGTTCGTTACAGATGAGAACGGCGTGCTGCTCCGGAACAAGAATGCCATCCTCAAGCGGTGGC